CCCATGGACATGTCACAGCATTGTCCTTCCAGCAGGAAGGATTCCCCAAGGTCCCCTCTGTTAGCCGGCTCTGGCTGGATAACACTGAGCTCAGACAGAGGCAAGCTTCACGTGGTACTACAGACACATCTTATACTCCACAGAAACCCATGTATTAGTTTCCCCCTTCCCACACTTTCAAAGGAGGATATGGGAGTTTTAAGTTCATTTTACACAGGCTTTAATTACCATAATGGAGCACCACACATATTAAAGAAAGAAGAAGGGACCAATTAAACCGGACAAATGATGATCTTGTTCAAGTTAGTGTACAGGGAACCTGCTTTTAAGATCCATAAAAAGAGGCTGACTGTTTGGAAGCGGGAGGATGGAGGGAAGCATAAAGAAAGAGTGACTGTAGCTACATCTTAAATGTTATTTGCAGATTTGCTCATGGGAAAGTATATGGATACCTTTACAGGTTAACTCCCCAGTACCAGCATTTTGAGAAAGTCCCGAGGGTTTCAGGGCAGAGAACCTGGAAGTTATGTTTGCTTTTTAAAATATTTTGTTTCCCCTTGGAAGCATGTCAATACAACTTCAAGTCAGATGGTAGATAGCAGGAATGATAAAGCTGAGAAGTAATTTGCAGTAACTATGTTTGGTTTATTTCCTGGTTCAGTGTCAGAAAAGAAATTCAGGGACTGCGGGAATGCTTTCTGAAACTAAGTTGTTTTGGTTCTGCTTCACTAGTATTGTGAAAGGCTATACCAAGAAGTTCTGAATTACCAAGTTCATATCCATGTTGCCAGCTGCATAAAAACCCACTGAAGCCATTTGGTTTCAATTTTCTATCTGAAAAGCTCTGCTTTGTGCAATAAATGGCAGCAGTCTTGATGTGTTATAGCCTGTTCTAGTTTTAACTTGGAAGCTTCTCTGAATTACACATCTAAGTGTAAGATCAAGCCAAAAATTCAATAGAAGGAATTTAGCAATTATAAAGTAACAAGCAAATCAGTATTTCAAAGTATCACTAAAACTTTCTGTGGTTTAATGCGACTTAAGTACTTTTGCTGTAACACACGGGGAATTATTTTATCTACTTGCAGCACTTCAGAAAATCTCTCAGGATGACCAACTTTTAAGAAGGACTCATTTGTCCAAGATCTTCAAGGAAAAATAGAATTCACAATGTTAAGCTTCTCTTTACCCAAGCTTTCATTATGCAAGAGAGGAGGAAGCAGTAGCACTGGCTTACATCCATGCAAAAGATAACTAAACAACAGGACAATAGTTCTGCTAATCAGATGGTACTGACATAAAATCAGAGAAAAAAAATGTACCTAGAGCATCAGAAATAAATGTCAGATCATGACCTACACCTCAGAAAAGTAGACAAAAGAATTTGGTTACAACAGTGATTTACACATCTTTCATTCATTTCAGGAAGTCTAACAGTAAATGGAAAAATAATACTTCTGATATCCCCAAATAGTTCCAATTATGCATAAGGCATGACAAAGCTCTCATAGCTAAGACATCATCAACAACGTAAGGTTTCACACAATGGGAAATAACTGAAAGCCATGTTGTAATTATAGGGAAGAAATACAGGTGAAGAAAATCAGAATATGTGCAGGTAAAGCTCAATTCCTTTACAAACTTACTGGTCGATGTAGTCAGCACTATGAGAAAAAAATGCAGTGCTAGACATTTATGCTTTAGGTCTAAAACTCAGACTGTCACAGTGCTTTACGTGCATTTGCTCATAGCAGCTGGCAGTACAATTTGAAGTGACCTTCCATGGGACACCAAAGCTCCTTGGCTTCTCCAGTCTCCCCAGACCTCTCTTCAAGTCAAAGACAGACCTAACTTTCCCAAACCCTACTACCCTGACTATTAGTGGGATATTACTCTACCACTGTGGTGGTTATGGATATCCAATTAGAAGGCTGTGTGCTTTTGCTGGGAATGAAAACAATAGTTGCTTTCATTTCTGGCTGATTCAAAGTCCTAAATGAAGACTCCGAAATTACCCACGCCCTCCAGTAAGAACCAAGGGACTCCAACACTTCATTCTGTGTCTTCAATTTTTGTATGTGTTTTTACCAACAGAAACAAGAACCAATTTCTAATTCATCAAAGATTCAAAATTCCAGTCAAGATGCACTAATACGGGTAAACAGTAGTCATCAACCATTTTGGAAAATGTCATTAAAATTATTTCTAGCTTAATGTGCTCTTCAAATAACCCCAAAAATATATAATGCTTGAACATGAGTTTTCCCCTCTACCGTCTCCTGTCCAGGAAAGGATCAGGGAATTTCCCTAGAACACTTTTCCTACTGGTTTACTATGCTACCTCCAAAAGGTTCATTTTATTCACAAGCGGAAAAAATACTAAAGTGTCAACTCCTGCCAAGTAAGGAGGATCTTATAATTGGCATATTACAGGTGGCATTTTTTTCTTTTATTTCTTGGTAGTAGGGAAGTTTCCTGCTTCCCAGTCAAAATCTATTGCTCACAAGCTCTTTATTATTCTGAGAATTATACACACAAATACATTTTGGACAGACTGACTGCTGCTCTCCCGCACCATGGTTTAGTGGGGACTGTTAGTGTTAGGTCAGAGGTTGGACTCGATGATCTTAAGGTCTCTTCCAACCTAGAAATTCTGTGATTCTGTGATAAATGTGAGATGACACGTGAGATACACATGAGCTACACCATCACTTCTTTTGTTCAAAGCATTCCATGGACTCACTACAGAGCACATTTTCCTGCCCAGCTATCCAAATACACCCAGCAACTGGTTAAGAATTAGCTGAACCAAGTTGCTAGGATTCATACATTTAAGACTCAACTTGACAAACTTCAGAACAACCTTGTCTGAATTCAGTGCCGATCCAGTTACAGGCAGTGGAAGCTGTGCTAGGTGACCTCCAGAAGTCCTTTCCATCCTGGATTTAGCTAGCCTGGCTATAGCCTGAAGAAAGCCTAACAGCAAACAACTGCACAGCTACAGAACAAGTTATTTATCTGTGCTGCTGAAACATTACCAAGGTACAAGTTTAATACTGAAGTGTTCAAATAGCTTGAACTTGGATAAATCGTTATTCCCTACATCAAGCTAAACTAACAGGGAATTGTTTCATTTACAAGGTACCTCTCGTCCACAGTAAGTGTCTGTATGGTTTTACCTCAAAAAAATTAAAAAATGAATGGAGGTACACATCTCTGGGCAGCGTTTCACCTGAAAGGTATCTTGAAAGGCCTGATCACCTGAAAGGCCTGGTAACACAGCAGGGCTTTGATAGCAAAACCAAGCAACTCTTTCCTCTCCTCATCCATACTTCCCCCACCACTGCTTGCCTCATTTGATTTCTACCAGTACCATGTTTACCAGAAAGCAAGGAAAAACATTTAAGAATTTGACAAGGGAAGTTTCCTTGACATGGCAAGTTAACCTGATACAATTTAATGCATCAAATCCAACTTTGCAGCACCAAAACACAGCATTAGCAAAATTAAGGACGATACGTGCTATGAGCTGTGGGCATTGGCAGGGGGATAGGAAAGGATATTGAAGAAAAATTACCCTCATGAGCAACACTGAGGTTCCAGTCTTTTCTGATCATAATGCACAAGTCTGAAATACTGTAGTGCTGCTTCATGCTTTCATCTTAAGCAGACAGTTTCCAACAGGAAAAACTTGGAAGGTACTCTACTGAATACTGCAATTCTAAGATACAGTGAGCTATAGAGAGACATTCTTTAGCTAATGAAACTCGGGGAGAAGAAGTTTTTATTACCAATAGCACAAGTCCCCCCTTCATTAAAAAATAAACAGGTGTACTTTCAGAAGCAGAAGTCATACTTAAAACCAGCCGTTCTACACATATTTACATGTACAGCAATGGTGTCATAAAGCTACTGTGGATTAATAACCTAAGGGACAAAAATATACCTATACCCATCTAATTTCTTCTAATACTATGGTTACAGATAGAACTATAAACTGAAATTCTAAGTGTGGCCACAAGTCTTCCAAAAACTCAGTGACTTACAGGTACCTAGCTCACTAAGCAAATCCTTCACATCAGCAAGGCTTAAATCAGAGAATGAACTAAATCCACTTTGTTTGAGAGACTTATACCATAAAGTACGACAGATACAGATTTTATCACATTTCACCACCTGTATGCAATTAAGGGGAGTATTTTGGACTCTTGTATAATCTTGGATTGGGTGGGAAAAAAACAGGTTTTGCTGGGTATAACTGGGTGTGCACACTTTTCAAATTACAGTGTCTTGTAGTGTAGTCATTTATAGCCAGGCTACCTTTGCAATTAGATATATTGCCACACTTGGTTTTTTAAAAAAGCACATAATTTACGAGAGCATTTCTGAATCTCTACAGTGCAATTACAGAATGTAGCTTGCAGTCACCAGATCTGAACAGCAGCCTACAGAGTAATTTTGAGATTTTTTCCCACCTCAGTATAAATCAGTCTGAGCTTAATTGGAGACTACTGCTTGAGCTGCTAATCATGTTCTACCCTTCCTAGAAACTGTACAGATACTTTTTCCAACCTAATTTTGATAAATGTTACATCCTGAAATAGGGCTCCTTCCCCTTGGAATAGCATACAGTTGCTTATTGTAAAAGCTTTGTGCCTGAGCTGTATATTATCTCCTTTTCACTTTCATAGCTTTTGAGGAATTTCAGTTGTACTTCCACTAAGTTTTGGTATATAAACAAACTACAAATAATGTTTCAATACTGTTTCTTCTAATAGAACCACACATCCCTAAACACACTCCTTAAAAGATGAGATTTTAAGATGATTAGGTAGAACCTACCTTTGTTTTAAGCCTCAAAGTACCAATTTAGATAGAATCACATTTAACACCAAAACAGCAGATCCGTTCCAACACAAAAACAAATCAAAGATTGCATGTAATGTCTTAACTTTAAGAAACTGTCAGAGTGGTAGCATTCCAGTCAAAAATTGTCTTACCAGAGCTTGATGATAGAACAGTTCCTTTCTGAGAAGGTGCTTTAACTGTGCAGGTATTTTTGTTTTCACTTCCTCTCTTCAACACGGAGGGCACCGTTTTAACCTTGGATGCTGATACAGCTCGTGGCATGACTGAGACTTTCTTTGGTGTATTTTTCCCTTCTGCTGTCCCGTCTTTCACAGAAGACATCTGTTTTAAAACAAACAAACCCCCCCCAAAAAAAAAAAACACAAAACATGACCACTATGAGAAGCTGTTTCCCTTTCTAGCATCTGTAATGAAAAACTGACCCCACAGGTAAGGGACGTGCTTAGCTGTTTGCTGCTACATGGTCCACCAAAGCAGCAGTCAGCAACATCACCTATACTTCAGAACTTCAACGACTCTCTTAAATGGCTTCCAGTGACCCAAAACTACAAGTTTGAAGATAGTCACTGATAATGACCAACATGTTAAAGAGCTTACAGAGGCTATTTAATATCACTTTCTTCCTTACTTGCCCCTCCAAGCTTTAATTGAGCCATTTGACTGTATGACTGTACCTAATCTCAAGACGAATTCTTTACCAAGCATCTACACAAGTTAATGCACTAAAATGTTAGTTGTCACATACAACCCAAAACTTCCCAGCCACTATTACAGGTTTCCTGGCCTAGATCTTAAGGCTGGGCAGAGGAACATGTAAACCCTTTCACATTCAGGTGCCAAAAACTATCAATTCAGGACAAGTTTAAAACAACTGGTTTATAGGTTGTTTTCTCCTACCTCTACCTTTTATACAGAATTCTTATATATCATTAACTGTACCATACCCTGCCTAGGTTACATTGGGTAAAGAGATTTTTGCCAACCCAACCCCAAAGCTCTTCCTTTCTTTCCTACAATTCCTTTTCTTTGAAACCTCTTTCCAAGGTATTTGAAAGCAGCACATTGCTCCTGACAGGTAGCTGACTTGTCTGAAAATGTTTCCCAACCCGTCCTGCACACATACCTTCCGGCCAGGAAGTTCGCACCTTCCAGTTGGCCAACTGCCCGAAAAAAAGGCATCCACCTTCTGCATGAAGAGTGGATCCGGGCTACTCCAACTATTCTAATGAGTCCCATTATTACTCAAATAAACAAACTCCAAAATTATTCAAAGCAGACAGTGAAATTTAGAAGTTAAAAATGCTTCGCCAAATTGTTGGTCGTGGGGTTTTGTGTTACATGATGTTGTTAATATATGCAGACATTTCTATACGTAAATTTTAGAAGTATGTTTTAGAATTAAAATATGCTTTGAAAGAAAAAATATTACTGCAAACAGTAATTTATCTCTAAGATCTATCTAAAATTACAGTACCACTAGAATTATCTTGATAAAAGTTATATTAGAAGTTATATTTGTAGAAATCTTAAGAAGTAACACTACATGATTTTACTAGCTAGACTGTAATTTAGATGTGTGCTTTTACTAGAAATCTTACTGACAGCATTGCATTACTGAGACTTCATGTAAAGCTTTTTATACTATGGAAGAAGATGAAGGCTACAGACACTATAAAGCACCTAAAGTAAGCCACTTAATGGTCAAGTGCTTGCTGTTTAGATAGAAGTTCAGCAGTTTGTAAAAATTTGTATTTCTTCTCTCCTTTTAGCAGGAAGATATTCCAGCCCAGAAATCAATGTTACAACTGCTGTTGCAGACACAAAACCCATCCCTCAGTTCCCATTCAGCACTGTGCAATGCAGACCCCCCCCGCCTTCTATTTTTTTTTTTTTTTTTCCAAACGTACAAAACATATCATCAAATAATTGAATTTTAAAAGCTTACCACAGGAACAGAGCACAGGTCAAACGTTTCATTTGCCACATCTTTTAACAATGGTGCTTCTGGAAGAATTCCCATGTTGTCGTTTTGCTCCTTTTCACCTCCCATCAGGTGGATGTTTTCAGCAGAGGGCTGCATTAACAAGTTTGAACTTTCCATTTTATCGCTCCGCATCTCCTTGGAGCCCTCCACGCATGTTGGAAGCACGGCAGAGAGCGAGGAGCATGCTGAAGCCGTAGCGCCTGCCTTGCCAAGGTCTTCCGGGTTCTGCTTCAACACAGGTGTCTTTGAAGCCCTGTGGGAAGCGTTTCGGGGATGTGTTGTGGCGTGTACGACTTGGCTAGCGAAGAGGTGTTTGTTAAGATGTAGCTTATGGGGCTTATTCACAGGCAATTCCACTTTAGTATCTTTAGCGAGATCTATTTTCCTTTTCAGGACTTTTACAGAAGGGGACAATTGCCTTGGGGAAGCAGCTAGTGAGGATGAGGAGGTGGCTGACAGCTGGGGGGACTGAGGAGACTGTTTTAAGGGTGCAGCCTCTCTTGGCTGCAGCACAGGCCTAGACATAACCTTTGGCTTGACATTCTTGAAATTAGGTTTGGGAAAACTAACAATCTCAGACTTCCTCGCTTTGGTTATTGTTGACGCAACAGGAGACCTGCTTGATGTTTTTCCCGTAATTTGACCTGAATTAGCTTTAAGCAAAGGACTTCTGTTTTGTACTCCTATGAACACCTCATTTGGTCGCAGTTTAGTAGACTTGTCTCCAAGTTCTGCCACAGCTGGAACAGAAAAAGTTGTATTTTTTGATTTCTCCTTAGGAGTTGAAGTAAATAGAGCAGAATCTCTTTCATCAGCCAAAGGACTGAAGACCACAAAAGTTGCTTCACATTTCAGCTCAGGCAAAGCAGCCCTCTTTAGTTTTGGTACGCTGCAAGGTGTCGTTTCAGACACAGAAGGGGTGTTGTGCATATCTTGAAAAGCAGCATTTCCAGAGATGCTTTGTTCTTTGGTTAAGGGTTCACTGTTTTTCTTTGATACTTGTTCTCCATCACCGTTATCTACTGGTAAAAGGTGCTCCTTATTTACAGAACCATCCTTGCATGTTTCAGCAGTGGAATTCCCAATTTCAGCACATCCAGCAGTATTCTGCGAGGATTTTGCTTGCTGATCTTCGCATGTTTTAACACACGGATCTTGCGTACAAGCATCTATACATCCAGCAGCTAGTTTTCCAGATGGTGCTTCTGCTTCCTGTGATGCTCTGTCAACGTTGTTAGTGTTTTCTATGTAGTGTTCAACACCTACAGAGGCAGGACAAGGTACTTCAAGTTCAGAATAGACATCTGGGCTTCCTGAAGCCACTATCGTAAAGGAGAAATTCGGGATTTTTTCTGAGCTGATTGCACCAAGTTTCGCTCTTGTAAATACTTCATCAGAAGAGCGTTCACTCAGATGCACATCATCATTTTGATCAGTTTCCACAGTTCCACCTATAACGCTAGTAACATCCAATGTGCTCAGGTGGCAGCGTACCCTGTCTTTTATCACGGACTGCACGTTCTGCTCTGAAGCAGGAAGAGGTAATGCACAGTTTGAGTCAGACTGACTGTAAGGCACCAATTGTTCAAGACTCTGATCTTGCATTTCTGCCACAGCCACATTATCTTTCAAGAAGTTTGCCATTTCTTTCAAGTCACAGTTCAAAGGATACACACAGGTCTGCCCGGTCACAGAAGACTTGCATGCAGCATCTGTATCTCCCAAGAGACCTCCTGTGCAGTTATATTTACTAGGCATCATCTGTAGATGATGTGTGTCAATATGCTGCTGTTTTAAAAGAATACTTCCAAAGTCACTCTTATCTTCAAGAACAGTATCATCTTCATGCTTAGTTGCTATATTTTGGTCAGTTGAATTACCATGCAATTTGGTGGCACAATTGTTTGAGGAAGGTGTAGCTTTGTCACATGCGTAATTATTTCCATTTTCATCCCTTATAAGTAAGGAAGACTTCAAGCCATTCTTTGCTTTGTCATCTGACTTTTCAATATTCATTTTGAAGGATAAATTTTAAACTATTTTCATTTTATGCTTATTTAAGATCCCAGAGAATGCAGACTCTACTGAATATCGCAGAAAACAAAAGCTTTTCCCTGGATCATGTCAACTATCCAAAAAGATATTTAAAAAGCAGTTCCCTGCTTTCATACTTTCCAAGAGGATTCAAGAGTTCTAGAATTAAAAAGAAATAAAAAACTATTAGACAAACCAGAACTTTAAGACATTATACATTCTTATTACTTGTGACTTGATTCAAGTGCAGGCATTTTGACCAACTTGCTTTAGGAAGTTAGGCTTTTGCAATGACGATAACCATAAAAGTTTCATTTCTCCAGCCATTTCTCCTCCCGTGGGTGTAAAGCAACTTTTGAACTCTTTGGTCCTCTGCAATCAAGTGTGATTTTAGGGCTGCTTTCCTAGATTCTCAGCTTCTATACAAGCAAAGGAACAAGAAAGGTTAAGCTGTCCAGATACCATCTTCCTGCTGAGACACCAGATGTTCAAATGCCTGCTCATTTTTCCTTCTTCCAACAGCAAGTACCTAACAACAGGGCACGATTCCTCATAAAGCATGTAGTGTTTGGAAGCCAAAAGCTTACATAGGTTCAAAATAAGATTCTAGAGAGAAAAATCTGCCCAAACTGAGCACCAGACTGACTGAAGAACCTCTCGGTCACAAGTTGCAAGCAGCTTGGAGAACTCCAGGGAAGAATTGCTGTGCACTTAGCCTGTTCTTACACTCAGCATTTAGCACTGGTTACTGCTGGGGGCAGGACAGAGTTTGGCAAATCTTCAGTCTGACCAAGCACGGTCACATATACATGTGTTCTTATGTACAAATTTGCATGAAGATAGAAAATTAAGAGGGATCTAAACTGTAATAATGACAAAACGCTGCTGTGTAAGCATATGTTTAGAGCAGATACCAGAGAAGCAACACAGCAGCAACACTAAGAATCCTAGCGAAGAAAAGAGCTTCAGGGCTCATCCCTCTCATCCCTTGATGAGATGGTAGTGAGCAGTAACAAGCCCAATGTTTTTCTACTGTGTTGAAGGCCTTTCTCCCTGTATTTTGAAGAAGCATGCACAGCAGAAGCAACTCAAGGTCTTTATGGAGTTTTCCAAAGGTACCCGAGCTGAACTGAAGAAAAGACAAGGAGATTCCTAGTTAGCTCTAGGGTTACACCCCAGCACTACTGGAGTAGCCAACAGGTAGATGCACAGAGGACTTTCAGAGTCCCTGGAAAGGAATTTCCTATGTAGCAACAGCCTCCACCTTCAATAAAGAAGACACAAGACTAGCAAAGTGGAGGAACAATCCCAATGATGGCTCCTCTACAGTAAAGAAGAGCTGCATATCATCACCTAAAACCTTACAGAAAGGGAAAGAGATTTCCAGGGGAGAGCAGGGGGAAGGCTGATGTGGCAAAAAGAAAACAAGATTAAAGAAAAGCCCTTGCACCTGTAAGGACAAGTGCCTAGAAAGTGCTGAGACTGCATGTACCTACCAAAACCACAAGGCCAAAAAAGGAGACAGATTTGAGAGACGAAATACAAAGCACCCAAAGCAGTCCAATGAGCTCTGTAACATGAGTCCATATGAGAAGTCCCTAGCACCAGAAATGAGACCAGAGCACAGCTGAAAGGTAGGCAAGACAGTGCAGATGTGGAGCAGAAATTCAGATCAGTCAGGAAGAAGTGACTCTCTCAGAGCAACAGTGTCTAATGGTGAGGGACAGTTCACTGGATCCACAAGGGAACCAGGACGAAGACTCATTCATTGACAAAGGTCGTAAGGCAGCTTTTCCCAGCTGAAGAACAAGGAAATTAGGCAGGTGTTGAACATCTCCACACATCTGGAGTTCACTTTGCAGGGCCCACAAAGTCTTGAGTATAAAAGCAGCACTCTAGGTAAGTCTGTTCTAGATCTGCAGGAGGTTGTGTGCTCACAGCAGACCAAACACAGATGCGTCTAGCCCACCACCTTTTCTTTACATGGAACTTTTTACTTTCACTCTGAGACAGATACTTAAGGACTATAGAAGGGGGAAAACAAGCTACCAAAATAAGACAGCAGCCCTCTCTCTGCTTCCTTCCAACCCCATTTCCAAAACAAAAGGCACTGAAGATGAAATGCTGGACTAGACAGCTCCTGCTTAAACTCTCCTAGTTCCTTATGGCTGGTCTAGATCCTTTGCATACCCAGTATTATTCAGTCCCCACAGACGCATGAACAATTGTAGCACCCTTATTTTAATCCTCCATTATGAAACGTAAGACAGGTTCAAGAGTTCGTCCACAAAAGTCGTCCCTGGAGGCAGGACAAGAACCTCTCCTGAATATTTTTCCATTGATTTAAGTCAATCACAGAATCAACTTCTGTAAAATGCTTGCAAGCTTTGCTTTCACCGTTGTTTTGACACACAAACTAGTTTCTACTTGTTTGGAGACAAACCCATAACACACAATGCAGCTTGCTCACCTAGTCATGCAACAAGAAGTTGAGATTCCATTTTGCTTTCGCATTAGCTCAGGTACAAAGAGCATTCTCACCTCTCTCAAAAGCTTCTACACTACAGAAAATGGGGAACTCCACTATGCCAACTAGCAAGACTCAGGTCTCAAGAATTTAAAGAATGACATCTTAGCTTACCTTATGGATTGCTAAGACACCAACATTTGAAACACATGAGACGCAGCTATGTACACCTTGGTATAATCAATGCTTAAGAAGCTCCAAGAAAAATAAAAGCAGCTTTGAGACCAAATAGAAAAATCAATAAGTGAGTTTAAGTTGCATATACGTATGTGTACATGCACAGATAGCGTTCTGTTTGCTCAGTCCACCATTAACTACAACATATACAAATACATACTTCTGATTTAACTATTTCAAAGCTGATTCTCACTTCAGTAATCCATTAAATCAGCTTCAAATACTGCTTCGCATCCACATTTAGAGTCCAAAAGTGTCTTTCACAGAAAGTGAGACATTTCTAAGGCTTAACTAGAGCATATAACAATTTGTAACATAAGTTAACATTACTCCTCAAAAAACTTACATTCTGTAGCTCTGCAGGCAGGGTTCATATGTTCAAAACACATTCATCAGGCTTACAAGCTTCCTGGAGGCAAGAAGTTCTTTACATTTATGACCTGCTACACTAGGTCAAATGATGTTAACCACAGCCACTGCTTCCTCTATGAGTGGTCAGTAGCAAATAGGCAGACAAAATATTTGTCCTTCCCAAGAATATTCTTTCCCAGGAATACATTGGTCCTGACAAACTAATGGACTTAGGGAATTACCTGAACTAAATACTACTACTAAACTCATTTTGAGTTTATTTATCAAGCCTCTAGTTATTTCCCTTCCTCAACATACATGGAAGAGCTTGTGGGAATAGAAGCATTGCTGTGGAAAATAAGGGAAGGGAGCTTGGCAAGCAAATTCTAAAAAGACAAAAGACCAGCTGCCAGTGGCCCCAGATTCAGGAGAGGTACACTACAACATGCAGAACAGGGTTCAGAGCACGATTTTGCAGCTTCTACTGATCTACAAGGCTAGGGCAGTTTGCATGTGCACTGTAAAAGTAACAGGGGACAGACAGTGACTGGTTCAGTGCTGGGTAAATCGGAGCCAAAACCATAGCAATTAGTATAAATAAGTTAAGCTGCAAGTTTCCAAATTACTACAAGAATGCAAGTCAGCTTGCAGTACTCTCACAAGGCAATTAGGCTTTTCCTGGTGCTCCATCTGGAGCTGGGTGCTTTCAGCCACGTATTCCTAGCACTCATGCCAACCCAGCAGCTATGTTGGCATGTTCTGTACCACAGCGGGTGGGGGGGGAAGATCTGAAAGTCAAGGGTGCGCTCCTACGAGCAGGAAGGCAGGCTAGAAGTGTTCCCTGCGTAACCTGAGTTATTTCCCATCCTGATGAGTCTGGGTCTGTGCTAATTCATGCTATGAGGAAAGAGGATGTTAAGCTTCTGGAGCAACTTTACCCAAACATTTATAACATTACAAGTGCAACATGCTCCTAGAAATGAATTACAAGAAGTGCTCATCTGGTAGTATCACCACGTGCCTAAGAACTCACAATACCATCAGTGTTGGCACTAGAGCTAAGCAACTTCTTTATGCGTTAGTCAAAGTCATTTGAAAAATCAAGATCAATGTGAGACACTTGCCACGGTAAGCAGAAATAACGCACAAGTTCTGTTAGGCTGCCGTCTCTATTTCCAAGTTCAGGCTGTTGTTTGTAAGCAAGAAGAATCAGCCATTCCAATGGATCAATACAGCATCTTGGTAAGAGAATTTTGCATCCTTTAAAATAAAAATCAGAAATTGGGGATTATTAAAGTATGTTCTGGGAGAACTCTGCATTCAGAAGTGGAAGACTGGTCCAGTGACTTTTTTTAAAAGTAAAATAAATGCCTCTCGTACTTAGTTACCTAAAGACATAAAAAAAAAAAAAAAAGAGTCTAAAACTGGGATCTAGCATTGGGGTATTTGGAAGTACAACTGCCTGACGAGGAAGTTCTGCACATTCACGCCTTTCCCTGGTGTTTAACAGCACCAGGCCAGGTGAAACTCGCGGAAGTAAGAGATAAGCACACACAAGCTGGTGACAAACCCTAGCTATAAAGGCAGCACAAGTAAGCAAATGTATTTCATTATTTGAGATTAAGCGCATGATCAAACAAAACCAAAGCCACCTATTTGAACATGCAGGTCAGAATCCCAGCAAACCTCTCACTTGGATATTCTGGGACTTTCCATTGCTGGGACTTAACCAGGCACTCATTCTTAGCTTCGTTAACAGTATTCATTGCTACAAGCAGCACAGGGATTTCAAACTGGGGTGCAATACATGACTGCAATACACGGTCTATTATATACTTATCTAGCACTAGCTTAGCAAATGCTACTAGGAACAAGGACTGTGCCTGGTTTTCCATGAGATCAGTATTCAGCCTGTCACTTTTGAAAC